GCCTCAGCCTTCCAAGTAGCTGGAACTACAGGTGCGTGCTACCATGCCCAGCTCATTTTTTATTTATCGTAGAGATGAGGTCTCGCCAAGTTGCCTGGGCGGGTCTCGAACCCGCGGGCTCAGGCAATCCATTCACCTGGGCCTCTCAAAGTGCTGGGATTACAGACTGAGCCACCGAGCTCAGCCTATAAAAAAATGTAAAGATTAGCTGGGCATGGTGGCATGCTCCTGTAGTCCCAGCTATTTGGGAGGCTGAAGTGGGAGGATCACTGGAGCCCAGGAGGTCGAGGCTGTGGTGAGCCATGAGAGCGCCAGTGTACTCCAACTTGGGTGGCAGAGACCTCACTTCAAAAAAATAAAAGTTTTAAACACTCTCAAATGGCTATCCTGTCATCTTAGGCAGAAAGAGCCCCCACAGTCTACACTTGACGCTCTCCTGACCCCTCAACCCCACAGTCGGCTCCGACCCCAATGCCCCCTCTCCATGCCCCATTAACCCCGGGTCATTTTGCCTGGGCCCGGGAGAGTTTGAGCTCCAGGATTTGAGGGGTGGGCTCAGGTAGGCCTGGGCACGGAAAGACTCACAAAGGCCTAAATTTCCTGTTCTCATTTTAACAAGAAAGACAAAGGCAAGATCTAGGTTGATTCTTCAGGGAAAGGGCTATTTCTGTAGTACAAGGCCCTGCAGGCAGGAGTCACCTTCAAGAGGAAGGGAGGAGGCTAGGGCAGAGATTTGAGAGCAGGATGGCAGTCCTTCCTGCTGTCTAACCTCCTTCCCTCCTGCTGCATCTGTGGTCCTGCCTTGAGGCAGACGGGAAAGAAGGCACCTCCCTTCTCCCAGCGTTGCCTTTTTTCAGTCCGCCTCTGGTCTGATTGAAGGCTGAAACGCCAGTTCCAGGTTTTGGCCTCCGCCCCTCCCGGGCAGTGCACCCCTCTTTCGCAGAGCCCCTCTTCCTCTCCAGGTGTCCTTGGCCCTCGCTCCAGGGGTCTCCTCCTCCTCCCTCCTGTCCCATCTCCGCCTCCCTCCTTTCTGCTCCCGCCCATCCGCCCCCCACCTTGTCTCGGGTCACTGTCCCCCCTGCCAGCCACGTGCCTTTGACAGGTCAATAAAAT